GGAAAAGAAACGGAAAAGAAACGGAAAAGAAACGGAAAAGAAACGGAAAAGAAACGGAAAAGAAACGGAAAAGAAACGGAAAAGAGCCCCAGAATAACATTTTATCACATGCAGGACTGCAGTCACTGTTTAAAGCAGCGTTCTCCTGAGAGTCAGTTTTTCAGAAGACCACTCGTAATAATTGATCAACACAGATTTTGTACAGTTTTATGCTTTCAGATAACCAGGACATCACTGGTGATTTGCAACCAGAGCATGAGGCAACTCAGAAGCACTCATTTATGTTTTAGCCAACAGTTACTGCAGTGCAATTTACATTAAAGATTACGATTACAGCTTTGACAAATGCAAGGCCATAGCACTGATTTGCAGTATCCGAGATAGAGGGGGCTTTGCTGAGACACGCGAGACGACACTGAGAAGCACATTTCGGGAGGAGGCCGAGGGAGAGGCGATCGGTACCAACCCAGGCAGTGGAGGCGTTCTGGTCTGCGGGCTTGGTAGGAACAAGTCTCGGGTTCTCAGCCAGAGGCAGTGGAGATTCCCAGGCACGGACAGGCCCCCCCCGCGGCCTCTCAAGGAACACCAGCTCTGCCTTCCTGGCCTGGCGGGGGCATTTCTTCTTCTTCGGAGGCATCAAGAGGCAGGGCGAAACCACTGAGAAACCTCATGGTGCTTGCTAGGATGCAGCGGAGAAAGGGGAAAGCACCGCAAGAAGAGGCTAAAGCGCTCTCAAATCTGGGAGAGGCAAACAAAGGGGTTTGAAGACAAACTTATTCAGACACCTCAAACACAGATTTCAAACAGAAGTAAAAACCCTTTAGGCAACAGTCCCATGTTCCCATCTCAAAGCGACCTCTGTATTTACACCAGTAGTACTGGACTTCAGAACTGCCATAAGGTGGATTTCACAGAAGCCCAACAGGGCAGATAATTAACTGCTCCCCGCTTTAGGGAAGCGGGTGGCCAGGTACAGGAAGGCAGGAAAATGACCTAAAACACCCTAGCGGCAAAAGGAGTTCTCAGCTGGCACTTTGAGCAGCATTCATCAACATGGGGAAGAATATTTCTTTACAAGAGCATAAGAGTAGATCCATAAACCAGGTGTCTTAAGCTCACGTAAGTATTTGTCTTCATTTGAAATTAATAAAGACATCAGGCCTGACTAAAATAAGCCCAACTGCATTCACAGAACAAGCCTGGTCACTAAAATTTTAAGGAATTTCAAACACTAAGCTGCTAGAAAAAAAAAAAACACATCTGAAATACAAATACCTTGGACTACTGAACCAGCGCTGTGGGGGATTTTAAGAAATAATTTCTTCCCAACAGCACTATATCTAGTCTAGTCAGAACTGAAAAAGAACCGTTTAGAAATCACGGAAACTTCTTTTCCGATTCACAGCTGGAAAGGCTCTGCAAGGCGGGGAGCCCCCAGCCCAGGATGGGGGCAGACCGCAAGTCCTCCCGTTTCCAGCCGTGAGCTCTACTTCCCCTACAGCATATTCCCTACGCCAACCTCTCCATTTCCAATTTCAGGATTTTTAAAGAAAAAAATATATATATAAACACGGCAAACGCCACATGACGCACCTTACAGCTTCCCTGGCAACATCTCCGCGTGTTTTCCTTTCTTTGCGCGCAGTGCGCCCGTCCCCGCAGAGCCGCCTCCCGCCGCGGGCCCCATGGGACCCCCGCCCGGGGCCGCCCCGCTCCCGCCGCGGGCCCCATGGGACCCCCGGGGCCGCCCCGTCCCCCCGGCCCGGCCCTGCCCGGCGGTGCCGCCTCCCTTCCCGCTCGGCCGGCACCGGGAACCCCCCGCGCGGGAGGCGCCTCCCGCCCGGACCCACCTGCCGGGCGGGCGGGCGGCGGCGGCGGCGGCAACCGCGACGCCTCGCAGCCTTCCGGGACACCCGGACGCGCCGGCACCGCCGCCCATTGGCCCGCAGCGCTCCGCCCCCTCAGCGCCGCGCCTCATTGGGCCGCGCCGTCACGTGGTGCCAACGAGGCGCCGGGCGCCAAATTCAAACCGGGAAACGAGCGGCGGCGCGAGCGGCGGCGGAGCCCCGGAAGCGGCCGGGGCGCTTCCTCCCCCCAGCCCCGCCCGGGCAGCCGGTGAGTGTCCGCCCGCGATGTCCGCCCGCGATGTCCGCCCGTGGGGCGTCGCGCAGCGGCGGGGCCGGGAGCGCGGCCTGCGCGCGGCGCACGGAGGCAGGCCGGGAGGGAGGGAGGCAGGCCGGGAGGGAGAGAGGGAAGCAGCTCGGCGGCCGCTGGGCGCGCGGGGCAGCAGAGCGAGCGGTGCAGGCGGGTCTCGCCCTAGGGAGCTGGCCCCCTGAGTGCCCCGCGGGCTGGGGGGCAGCGGGAAGGCCTCCTCCGGCCTTCTGCTGCGCGCTGCTTGCGGCCTGCCCGGGCGAGGTCTCGCCGCTGCGGCGGTGCAGCCCCGCGGGAGGCGGCTGGAGATGCCGCTTCCGGGCTCCCGCCGCGGGGAAGCCCCGTGCGGGGCCTGGAGCTGCTGCGAAGGGCCCTGCCGAGGGCCCGGCCGCAGTGCCCTCTGCAACGCGGAGCCCCCTTCAGCAGCTGGGCAGCCGCTGGGGCAGCCCCTCGGGGTTTTATCCGCTGGGCTTCTTCCCTTCTGTAGCTGCGCGGGTGGCTCTTGCTGGCACTGCCCTTGTTTCCCACCTGGCAGAACCAAATCCACCAGTGCACAATGGCGTGACTCCCTTTTGCTCCTGTTCTGCCTGTGGTCCCATACTCATTGACACACGTTCCTGCTTTGCGAAGGTCTCCCTCTGTTTACGGAGCATGCGGACAAAGGAAGCACAGTGCTGCTTCCCAGCAGTTCCATGAACGTTGTTCAAAGCTTCCCTTGTTCCCAGGCTCGTGGCAATTGCTGTGAATGTGAAGCACCCCTGGCGCCTTACCCCATTCGCCTTTCCTTTCTTAGCCCTTGGTTCCTGCCCTTCCTGCTCTCACATGGAACGTTTTGTGCTGCAGGATTTGTTCTTGTCCTTCTCAATGGAGACTGCCTGCACAGATCAATAATGAGGACCAGCCCTCGCAGGCCCTTAATTCTCAAACGAAGGAAACTGACCCTCCCGCAGAAGGATGCACCCAGCGCTTCAGCCAGAGACGAGCCCGGCGGTCAGGGGAAAAAGACTCCTAAGCAGGAGCACAGCCAAAGGGACCAACTTGGCAACCAACCCAGGCTCAGAGCGGACTGTGGCCTGCAGAAATTCCCTGCGGGAATAAAGATCATCAATCACCCTACTATGCCGAACACGCAAGTGGTGGCCATCCCGACGAGCGCCGACATCCAGAGCATCATCGAGGCACTGACAGCAAAGGGAAAGGAAAGTGGCAGCAATGGGCCCAACAAGTTCATTCTCATCAGCAGCGGGGGCTCCTCTCATGCAGCAGAGCCAGCCCCGCTGCAGCACCTCCCGTCACAAGCAAAAGCCAGAACAGCACCCGGCGAGGCGGAGAGGTGGGACAGGGAGAAGCACGTCATGCAGGGCGCTGGTTTTGCAGCGGGGACAATGCTCTTGCACTCGGGAATTGATCCCATGGTCGGGCAGGAGCAGGAAGGCAACGGTATGTAATCTTTACCCTTTTAGAGTATGTAATCTTTACCCTTTTCTTGTCCTGCTACGGAGAGAAGGAGATCTGAGGTGTGCCGACGAGTGCAGTGCCCGGGTGTCAGTAGGCAGGACTGAAAAGCAATGTGTGAAATACAAAACGGGTGACGTGCGTCAGCTATCGCACGTGGCGAGCCCCAAAGGATTCCAGTGCACGTAGCTCTGTACAAGAGACAGGCCTGGCACGTGCAAAGGGGTGGACAAAACTTCAGTGCAGAGCAAAACTTCAGTGCTGGGGAGAAAGAGGAGCTGGTTTGGGGAAGTCAAGAGTGGAAGAACTGAGTTCCATTTAGCAAAACGTTCATGACTGGAATCAAGACTAGAGCAGAGGTAGTTCAGTGAGTGACAAAACTCATGGGCCTTTGGCTTTGCAGCAGAGATGATTTCCCCTCCTTCAGTAACTGTGCGGCAAGTTTCTCTGCTGTCTCGTGGGGCTTCAGGACAAACACTGGAAGTGGGATGGATCTTATTCGGAATGGCAGCTCAGCTCAAATGCATGTTTAAAACCGAAAATAAAGAAGGAAGTTTTGTTTCCTTGGGGCTTATCCCATATATATATAGTCCTGTTTATCATAATCCATTGGCAGCCCCAGCACCTGTATTGTTACAAACAGCGTCACCAGAAGCAGTACAATTAAAACTTAGTTTTCTTCACTGCTGTTCAAAATCAGCAGATACCTGAGCTTCCCACTTAGCTCTTATGCTAGACTCTTTCTGCTAGAGGTTATGCCATCGCCTCCTTGGTCTCTGCCTCTTAGATTTGTCCTTTAAGTGAAAAAAAAAAAAAAACAAAACAAATACCTCAATTCTCAACACGCTGTAGTCAACACTGTCCTGGTTCTGGCTGAGAGCAGTAGTCTGATTTTGGTAAGGAATTGGGGGCTGCAGCTTTTTTTTCCTTTTTTTTTCAGAAACTGGGCAACTTCATATGAAACCGGGATTTCAAGCTATATCCACAAGAGAATACCTTTGCAAATACTCTCTTGTTCCTATCATGAGAAAGAGTTATCTTTTTGGGGAAGAGTGGCCAGGCCCTTCCTTTTGGCACTTGGGACTAAGGGGGAAGAGTGTTACTCACAAGTAAACAGGGCTCTGGGCTTGATATCCCAACAGGCAGCAGTGAGGCAACTAGCCCTGTGTTGGATAATAGTCTCACTAACATCCAGTGGCTGGGGAAGATGAGATCCGATGGGCTGAGCCCATGTCCTGTGAAGCAGGAGAGAGAGAAGGAAAACCGGACACCGCTTCAGGAACGAACCAAGGTAAGCAGGAGAGGCACCAGGGCAGGCACTGCACCTGCTGAGAGGGAGGCAGTGCATGTGCATCAGACCCCCTGGAAGAACTTGCTGTGACCATCCCTATGCAACCTGGGATCCCCCTTTACTGCTTTGAATAGCAGCACCTGGAGGAGGATCCAGGCATGGTCCCTCTCCTCATATATTGTTCTCTCTGTATCTCACACTGAAGAAGACTCTGCTGCTACTGTTCCTATCTCTTCCTCTTCCTCCTCCTGGCAGGATTCAGTATCGGAGCGACCCCCTTACTCCTACATGGCCATGATCCAGTTTGCCATCAACAGCACTGAGAAGAAACGGATGACTCTGAAGGACATCTATACCTGGATTGAAGATCATTTCCCTTATTTTAAACATGTGGCTAAGCCAGGTTGGAAGGTAAAATGCAGAACCTCGAGTAGCTGTGGGCTGCAGGGGGATAACATTGTAAGCCTTCGGGTGAAAACGAAAAGCAATTTGCCAGTCTGTAGAACAAAATGGAAATTAAGCACCCTCCCGCCCACGACCCGCATTGCCTTCTCATTCCAGATTTCCATGTTCCACTTTTTTTCTTCTTCAGTATCCATTTTTTTCTTTTCCCATGCCACATAGGAAATATGGTGGGATGCTTTTTCACTGATGTAAGAATAGGGATTTTGAGAGCCAGGAGAACGCAAGGCCTTTATGACAGGGTTGGCTTGATTTATGGCAGGGTATGCAGTGAATATGAAGATCCACCTACCCTAGGCTCTGGAACAGGATTCCTGTGCCAGGAAAGTCGTGTCTGAGGACGGACCTGCTGTGCTCGTAACAAAGCTACTGTTTTTCCTCCCTCCCAGAACTCCATCCGGCACAACCTGTCCCTTCATGACATGTTTGTCCGTGAAACCTCTGCTAATGGTAAAATCTCCTTTTGGACTATCCACCCTGATGCCAACCGTTGCTTGACTTTGGACCAGGTCTTTAAGGTGAGTGCCTCGTGCAAAGAAAATCTCAATCTATCCAGCTCCTAAACGCCACGCTAGCCAGATGCACCTTATTTTAGCTGTTTTGATGTGAGCTTTTTTGTACAAGTTGGATTCAATCTCTTGCTTGACAAATAGACGAGCTTCGTATTTGTACGAGAAGGGATCACATCAAGATCAAGAGAAGTACATAAACTGGAGCTTCTTTGGGATAGGTGTATTCTTCAGGAGGTGTGACAAATGTAATAATAAACTTATTGGACCTGTTTCCATGGGCCTGATGTAAACCAGTGGGAAGGTTCCTGCTGGAGTGGTCATTCATACTGTTCCTATGGTGCTTTGCCTAGAGAGTCACAAGACAAAAAGCTTGCTTTTTCCCAGATGAATGTTTTAGGAATTAGCACGTTGCAGAGGAAACCATAGTTGGTGGAATAGGTGTAGTCAGTCTTTTCTGTGTTACTTGCAGTGGGAGGACAGATTCAATTTCTGGTTTGTTCGGATTATGCAAGGTTAAAATGCCCCATTTTTTCCCCCTTGGTTGATAACATCCTCTTATTTTTCTCCCTCTCACTGCCTTGCTGTCACCAGCCACTGGACTTGGGGTCACCAACATCGCCTGAGCACTCTGAATCAGTAAGATTTTCCCTCTGGCTCGGGGCTTGGGCTTCCTTTTACTTCTGGACAGTTACAAGGCAAAGGCAGAAGGCTTGGGGAGGGAGCTGGGTCACCGCTGCACCTCATCAAACAGCTCCACACACTTCTATTTAGGGAAAAGAGTCGAGCCAGAGGGCTGCTGCTTCAGCTGTTATGCTTTTGGTTAGCTGCTGAAGCTGCACAACTTGGAGCAATGAGCATCCTGCAGCTGGAGTAGGCTGCACAGAGCCTCCCAAGGACAAGCCCAGCCGGACGTTTTGGCCACAATCCGGTCTCCCTGGCTCTGGTCCCAATCTGTTCTGGGGCTTAAATCCAGAGCAAGCAGGATCTCTGAGTGCTCCCTTTCTCTCATGGGAATGTAGCTGCACTGGGACTTGGAAGGACTGACCTGTTTGCTGTCTCCCCTGCATCCAGCTGCTGTAACACGGCAGGCGTGCGAGCAGCCACTCGAGCGCCTTCCCGTCACCGCTCCTGCCCTGGCCCTCTTTCCATTTGCTCTGCCCCCCAGTTCCTCTGCTGCCTCCGCTCTTCTACTCAAACATCCCGGTCACGGTTTGTGTAGAGACCTGACGCTCCGTGTGGTTATCCCGCTCGCCGGCCCTCGGGCGCTGAGGACGCTCCTCCCTGGTTGCTTCTGCAGCAGAGTCCAGGGTTGGAGCTGCTCTGTCCTGCCAGCTCTTTCTCTACGTTGGTAGCTCTTGGTTGATAACCTTGAGACGGCTTGCCACAGAAAAACCAGTGGCACAGAAGCAGGTCCAGCACGAATGACTGCTAGTAACTGCTGCTCTCTCTGTAGTAGCTTGGCACAGGCCTCTGGATTCACGTTTCTGAATGAGGCCGCTGAACAAAGATGGGTTCTTTTTAAATCTCTTTCTTCTCCCACTTTTTTTCCACAACTACAGCAGCAAAAGCGACATGTTCAAGATCTCCAGAAGAACATGGGAAGCAGCAGCAGCAAAACCGAGCCTCATAATGCACGTGAGTACTTTTATAAGCCTAGGCCTAAAAGAATCCATCCTCTAAGTCTTGGAGCCTGTCCTAGATTTCCACAGCAATAAAAATGGAAATTGTGACTCAGCCTTGCAGCTCAAAGTCTTCTTAGAGCTGTTTGGAATTGAGACAGTGCTGCTGTGTCTGAGAGAGGATGTCGGGGGGAAGAATTAGACACTCAAAACGGAGTGAGAGCAGAGCTACCCCAACTTTAGGTCTAGAATTTGTGCAAAGAACTATATCTTCTTCATCAGGGCTTCTGGCTTGGGATTTGTACATCCAAAATTAGCAGAGAAGGCTGGTGATTCTACCCCTCATCAGCTTGTTAATTTGGGGGGATTTAGGAGGACTTCCTGATAGGTACGTGTGTTTCCAGAAGCAGTGAAGGGCAGGAAGCCGGGAAATCTGTTCTTTTCCTTTCCAGGACGAAAGATGAAGCCATTGCTTCCTCGCATCAACTCCTACCTGGTCCCGATCCAGTTTCCTTTGAGTCAGCCTCTTGTCTTGCAGCCTTCTATGAAGGTCCCTCTATCCATGGCACAAGGGACATCCCTCAACAGCGCAGAGTCCGTCCGGAGCAATAAGCGTGTGCGCATTGCTCCAAAGGTTGGGCTTTTTTTCCCTTTGTTTATATTTCCTCCAATTGTTGCCTTCTTTGGACCCTGTTCTTTGCCAGGTTCCTTTCGTACCTTTACTAGGGCCTTTAAAAGACAGGCTTATGGCAAGCAACTAGCCAGTGACAACACTCGCTGCCCTTGTCCATCTCTAGGGTGACTATTGCCTGCTAGTTGACTTGCTATACGGGTTGCCTTAAGTCCCGGGAAGAGGGGAAGGTCTCTGGGTTAAATGGACAAGACCATGTGTTTCTCTGCTCGGATCTGAAGAAATAGGAGTGTGAGCAATGGCCCTTTCTTGTGCCTAAAATACTTGACCCTAACAGCCCTAACACAAGAACCTGCTACTGGAGCAGCATTTCTTTCTAGGTCATCTCAGTTTTTGGAACTCCACAGAATCAGCAAGAAGCAGTACCCAGATAACTCCGGTCTGAATCAAAACAGTTATTAGACACTCAACTCCTAGCATTTCTCTCCCTGCTCTTCAATGCTTAGAGCTTATAAACCCAGAACTGCTCCATCCTTTCTTAACTCGGTCCTATTCTCTTTGTATGCCTGCTGTTTCATGTTCCCTCCTCCTGTGATCTATGTTTCCCCCTTCCACTCCCTCTTCTGCTTATTCTCCATGAATATTGTGCTCCTGCATTCTATTTTACATGCAGATGGCGTAAGGAGAAACAAAAGTGCTTGCATTTTCCAGAATTGCTTAGCTTTCCCTCTGTCTCTCCACCTAGAACAGTTCTTTATAGTGGTCCTAAGGGCATCACTTGGCTCAAATCCTTCCCATGTGATCTGTAGGCATCTCTGTACTCATTGCACATGGAGATCAATCTCTATCAGGAGACAGAGAGCTCCATCTCTATCTGAAGGCCGCCTTTACTACTGGTATTTCTGTTATTTCTATGATCATTTGTATTTTTTCTGTTATTTCTATGATCATTTGTATTTTTGGATGTGGCAAATCCTTGCTTACTGGCTGCTTATCGCTTTGTTTGTTGTTGTTGTGTGGTTTTTTTTTTTTTTTTTTGTAGATGTGTCTCTCTGCTGAAGAGTCATCCTCTGTACCAATGACTGCTGTCAAGGAGGAGAGTCAATGTGACGAAAGTTTATTTGCCCCAGCCCTCTCTCTGAAGGAGAGCAGCTCCCAGCCTGGGGAGGAGTCGGTGCCTTTCCCCGAAGCCCTGTGCGTCAAGGAGGAGCAGGGCTCCCAGCCGGACGACTCTCTGTCTCCATTCCCCTCAGCCTTACCCGTAAAGGAAGAGCCCAGCTCCTTCCTGCCGGGCTCAGCCACCAAGCAGAAGAAACACTTCACCCTGCTGAAGTCCCCATCCAAGGGCGTTTCCGACACACTCGTTATAAAGAGGCGGGAGAGGCGGGAAGCAGGCAGATCCCGAAGGAAACAGCGCCTCGCGCTGCCTTGCTCCGAGGAGCCGCTGCTCGTTTTGCCGGAGGGCAGTGACTACAGCACTTTCCGCTTAGGGGCAGACGTTCCCTTCCTGCAGGAAAGCCAGGCCCTGGAGAACGTATCGCAGTTCAGCTGCTCCCAGGAGGAAGAGGGGCCCTTTAAAACTCCCGTCAAGGAGCTGTTCAGCAAGTTGCCAGTTTCTTCCACTCCCAGCAAAGTCCCAGCTACGACCCCTCCACTAGGGTGCCTTGATCCCTGGAAACCCGCGTCATTAGCCAAGGAAAGTAATGAACTGGACTTCAGCCCAGTGAGAACCTTCCAGTTGTCCTTCACGCCTCTCCGAGAGAACCAGGACTTGCTGGGTTTTAACAGCACTCCTCCTAAAAATCCCCTTTTTGAGTCCCCTCGGGAACTGCTCAATACGGAATCCAGTGAAATGATGCCCGGCCCCCTTACAAGCTCCCCCTCTTTCATTCATGAATCCACCAAACAGTCATCTGTGGAACTGCCGGCCTCTGGCCTTACTGAAAACCGGTCGCTCATGGAAGGCCTGATTCTGGACACCATGAATGACAGTCTGAGCAAAATCCTTCTAGATATCAGCTTTCCTGGTCTTGAAGATGAAAACCTAGGAACAGACATTAGTTGGTCTCAGCTCATACCTGAGCTGAAGTAAACTGGCCCGAGGGCTGAAACTGGCTTATGGTGACGTTATGGAAAGCACTCTCCTCCTCTGAGATCTGTTCACCAAGCCTAAGAAGATGTTTAATACCTGCTTGTGACTAGTTCCCCCCTCCCTGGGCAGTATTGACTCCGGCTAGGCTGGGAGACAGGCCCATTGGCTGCTATAAGCTCCCTGTTATAAGCTGCAATAGACTATTATGCGGGACAAGGTGGAAGCTCTTGTGCTAGCGATGAGTCTCTGGAGATTGCCAGAAGAACATCTAGGTAGGCACTGGATGGCCTTTGCTACTGAAGGCATCAGAGGAAATAAAAGCATACTCCTCAGTTGGGTCTGATAGGAAAGAGCTTGGGACCTTCTTCCTAGCTCCTTCCGTACTTCCCTTCACTTTGTTCCCCTCTTAGTGTAGTTTCAATGTGTGTAAATACTGTACATGCCTTAAACTAGCCTTTATAACAGTAACTTTATTCTTATAGGCTTATTATGGGACTATTTGGGCTGGTACAGGGCTTGGCTTAGTGTTCTCCATATGTTCCACTTCTGTAATCTTCCATCCTAGATGAGAGCACCAAAATACTTTTTTTCACTTCAAAAACCCATTGGCCAAGGCTGCTCTGAATGTTGCTGGGAAGGGATCTATATGTGACTGAGCAACTACTCGAGTTATGCTGCAATCCACATAACCTGTTTCACTATGAATTCTTAGTTCAGCTTCCTCTCACAGCTCTTTTTCCCAAGCTGGAATGGTGAAGAGCTCTTGCTCTTGGATCAAGCTCTAACTCTTCTGGTTCCAGAGTCCTTCTATTATGTACTTTGAGGACTGGGTAAAGTCACTGTTGCAGTAAGACTGGCTTCTAGGGAATGGTTTAAAGTGGCCCTCATTACAATCATCAGTTGAAATGGTAAAAGAGAACCTGAGAGGTAGATGCTGGTATTTTCACTGAAAAATGACCTCTTAGTGAACCATGCAAGGAGGAAACTCATCCCTGGTCCCTGGAGCTCGTGTCATTGCAGTAAAGTGCCATGTAAAAGATCTTACTCTTCTACTTACCGACAAATGATGGCTCATGCACCTCAAGCAAACAGTTTGTGGTCACTACTACTACTACTACTTAATAAAGCTTGTGTGGGAACACAGCTGAGTACTGTCTTTCTTATCATCAGCATTTGGCATTCACCTAGGTATTCTTGGCTTTGCAAGGTTCTTATCCTCCAAAAGAGTCCAGTGTTCTGTAGGGAAGCGGCCGGGGTTACAAGAATCACACTCAATATGAGTTTATCATCTTGCCCCGCTTATTACAGACTCTAGCACGTTTTTATACAGTAAGCCGCGCTCCTGACCAATCATGATTTTACATGCTCTCCCCTCGTCACTATCTTGTCACTTGTCTCCAGAGCTGGCATCCAATCATTGACCAACTCGGGTTTGTTTCTGCTTCAGAGTCCCATTTCTGGATTTCTTTGTCATGACCTAGTTCAGTCTGGCTACTTCAGCCRTTTACTGTATCCACTTGTTCTGCATCAGCAGTTTACTGCCATTTTGTCCTTCATCAGCAGTTTACTGCACACACTTGTTCATTAAGGATCCCGACAGTGTTCCCCTTCAGTTTTCTGTAAAAACGCTGCCTTTTCCCATGTGGCTGCCCTATGAAATCCAACTATCCATCATAGTCTTATCTATTTTTTGCCAGTTTCTCACATAATTTTGTCATGTTCAGCACTTTGTCAGGGCGTGTCAGAAACTCTTAGGTTCTGTTCAGCTGACTAAACTCGGACCAGGGTCTAGTCACCTCTTTACAGCTTTAACACACAATATTTAGGAATGAGTGTGACTTCCTCCAGTGCTAGAGGAGCTGAGATCGAACAGGTAGGTACAAAAACATGGCACAGCAGCTAGGACTCTGCGAGTCAGTCTTCACTGAAAAAGAGGGTTCTTATGAAGGCTTTTCTTTGGGATGTCCAGGATCATAGAATATTTCTATCATCTTAAACTACTCACCTGAAAGACCTGGTGGGACAATATGTAGGCATGTCTCTAGATACCCACGTAGTGTTTTTTTCCTAAAGTTTCTGTTATTCCATGACATTCCATGTGTTCCCATAAAACAGAACTCTTGACTTACACTATCTACCTTTTTCTTATGTTTTGGCTCTAGTTGTGTTAAAGACTTCTTTCCTCAACTGCTAAGTATAATTAGAGCAACCACTAGAGAGCAGTCATATCAAAAATAATGAGGACAGAAACACACAGCTGAGTTTCCTCATCAGTCCTATCTACTCCTCCCACAGGAGATTTCCCAAAGTTTTGTGCAACCTAATTCAAAGCTATTCTTTGTAATCATTTCATCACATCCCTCAGGAGACTACTTCACTGCTCAGTAAATCTATCTATAAGTATTTCCCTGACACTCTCCCTGGATACCTTTTCCTTTATTCCATTCTGTTATTCCTTACCTTCACCACCATAAAATTCTACAAAAAGCCAAAAAGCAATCACCTAGTCACACATTTTCACCAGGGCCTGAGTGACTGCAACCACTTTGCTGGAAACACTAAATCTTGACTTCTCGTGTTCTCTCTTGCTGGTATTTACATGTTCTTTAGATGCATTTTTTTATGTATATTTTGTATGTGTTTTCACATAGTATTTACATTTATAGGAATGAGTTGCTGCAGATAAACTGTGATGATGAGAAGTTCTTCATAGTGTGAAAGTGTCATGGACATCTGCATCTTTAGTAGACAGAATTTTCATATCTCTGGGTCACTTGGGGAAGATTCTGCTGCTGCCTGCTGCTGTTTCTGGAATGGTTGCTCCTGACGAAATCCATTTTTTCTGGAAGGCTGATGTCCCACAGGAGACGTGCACTTTTTCTTAGTAGCACAGGATCCGCCCATGAAAAACTTGGAGAATCAAATGAGATTGCATGTTTACATGCAGCATGAGACGGAAAAGGGGCAGCAGAGCTTGTAATGGCCTTGGCTGCTCAGCTAAGCAACTGTCTGGAGAAGGTCTGATTAAATCTGTACAGTTTGCTGTCACAGATGTTTGCTTAAGTATCCTCTCTTTGAGAAACTGGACTATTAAGAGGTATCAGGTGCTCAAGACTGAAGTGGAAAAGCAGGCAAGCGGGAGCTCGAGCATTTGGAACATTGGGGCAAGCACAGAGAAAGAGAGGTCATGGAGGGGATAGCACGGGAACCCCAGCATAGGAGTATGAAGTGAAGATGCTTGTCCAAACCAAACACAAGAACAGCAAGATAACGGGGCTGTTGGGCAGAAGCAGAACACTGTGCTGGAAACAGATTCAAAGGCCTGATATTGGACCAAGGAGAACCATTTAATAAAGCAGAGGTACAAAGGGCAGAGCAGGAAGGTGACAGAGCAGGACAAAAATTCTCCTGCAGTCAGGTGAGAGGCATCGTAGATCCTGTCCTAATATGCAAAAACACATTCAGTGCTCAGAAGTGAGAACTAAGATCTGGGTATTCCTCTGTTCCCGTGGAAAGTTGCAGTTGGAAGTTCTAAGGAAGAATCCCTGCGTTGGTTGGGGTATTTTCTACACATCCTTCCCAGCTCACAAAGACAGTGCAGAAATTACCACCTCTGAAGGCAAGCAGGACATCTCTTCTTTGAGCTCACAGACTATTTCAGTAGACCTGAAACTCTGATTTGCACGTAGTAGCTGTGTATTGAACAACAGGATGACCAAGAGAAGGAACTTATCATTTACAACACGAAACTACTCAAATTATTATTGTTTCTCTTATTACTAATGCTTCCATTATATACAGACAGTACCTAACCTAACACAAACATTAGGCACCACATGGGTTGCCCAGGCAGATGTTTCCTTACTGATATTGCCATGATTTCATCCCATTGCCATCACTCTCTGGCATGCCATACTTTGGTACTGCTTGTTTCAAGCAGTCACCTCAAAGCTACAGTTCACATATTTGTTCCTGGCAGACATCAGGCTACAAACAAAAGCTGTGCAGACTCCTACACGGCATGTGCTATTTCCTTGAACTATAATTTGTCTGACTGTATTAAATGCACACAAAGAATGAGATTCTGCTTCCCATGTAGCTCAACAGACTGACGATTCTCCCCTTTCTTAGGTAACATAACCTCAGGTTTATCTCATTTATCTTTGGAAATCACCTCAAAGACATGCCACCAAATCCTAAAATGGTTAAAATCAGGCATAGGATAGTCTAGTATTGCAACCTACTGGGTAACACCCACGAAACCCTGCTCTGAGGAACAAACATTTGCTCTTGGAGCTTCAGATGCCACCTAACCACTGTCCCAGATCAAAGTCTTTTTTATTGTGCAGGACAGATGGTTTTTATCTAAGTTGTAGGATCTACAGTGTCTCTCCATGCCCATTCTGGCTGCATTTGCTGACTCCACAGAGGTATGAGACGGGATCCTGCCTCACCCTCTCCTCCTACATAGTGGTAGTGTAGGTAAGAGGTACAGATAACACACACGAAGTAAATGTCTCATCACGCAGACTGGAAGGGAGTCACAGAATCCACCTGCACAAAGGGTGGATTTACTCACCACATTATCAAAGATTATTCAGTTAAACGACTGAATTGTAGAACATGTTCATATTGCTCTAAAAGACAGCACCATCTAGCATCCTGTTTTGAGACTCTGAGTAGCCCCTGACTTCTACAGTGGGAATTGAGATCAGGCCCTTTTTTTCCTTAAGATAGTTTCCCCTGAATTGTACTTTCCATGGATTAAGAGAAAGCTCTTAATCCTGTTACGGTCTGCTATTACAGCGGAATGGACCTCACTAATGAGGAGCTAGACAAGCAGTTGTTGTCTTGGACTGAATCCTCCCCTCCACCCTCACACAGGGTGGTTTGGTTGACCTAGTCTGTGAACAAAGGATGTGAGCGCGGTGCAACTTAGCAGGATCCTGTATATTTGGGCTTACAGCCAAGCTTTAGTGCAGCAATGTCCAGGGGGTTTAAACAATAAATAATGGTGGTTCACTTGGATATGAAAGTAATTTAAATTGGAGTAATTAATTTCATTTTATTTCATTTGATTTGGAGTCATTCGCCAGCTGCTCACATTCTTTCCTTTCCTCTCCTTTCCTTTTTGGCTCTGCTGCTTTGCTGTAGATACTTCTATGCTTCTAGCTGTTTCAGGAGGAATGCAAACTTCATGCAATTTACAGTATGATGGAAGACTCCTTTTTACGAAGGAGTTTTTAAAATACATCATAGAATACATCATAATGTATTAGATGTATCTAATCTATACATCTAATACATTATGATATATACATACAAAATACATCATAATGATGTATACAAAATACATCATAAAATACATCATAAAATTGAGCACTGTTCTTTTTAAAATGCATCATAGGTTCAGAAAGCAAAATGAGAAGCCTGAAAAAAAAAAAAGTAGTGATCTTTTTCCTGAACTCCAACAAAAATATCTTTTTTTTTTCCAGCATTGGTGAATTACAAGAGGATAAAAAGATATTCAGGGTATAACCAAGTATTAGCTGTCTGAGATTAAGAAGAAACTGTCCTGGTTCACTAGCTCACCTCAGACCGGTTTCTCGCTTTGGTACAGGCAGAGTTTTACAGCATAGAGGCCATGAACCTGAATGGCTGAGGCAGGTAACCTGCATCATTTATCCTTGAGTTTCAGTGATAACTTTTCCTACAAAAATGGAGATGTTAAATCCCTTGAGACATAGTTCATAAATACAGGCAAAAGATTACACAAAGCAAAGAGATTCCATGCTCCAAATTCTGTGGGAAATCCTCAAAGAGAACACAGCGGTGAACTCTTTA